GATATTAGGAAATAGTGAGATAAATTCATCCTTCGCGCAGTTTATAAATTCGAGAATCAGGGAATCCAGCTCGTAATTGCTTTGCCCTACTAGTTTGCTTGTTCGTCATCCTTCTGAATGGGGAAAACCGTTGTCACTTCATTTTACACGATAACTTTATAGGATTTATGGATCACTCCTCCAGTTTTACCGGAGTAACGGAATCTTTACAGCGGTGAGCGTGAATGAAGGCTGGTCATTAAAAGAGAGTGCAATGACATCAAACGTTGCCTGTAAGGTAGGTGGTCTACCACCTAGAGGTGCGAGATTTTTAATGCTCTTGCGCAAAATCATTCGGATCGCGCACTCCCAGTGTGTACTAGACTATTTAAATAATTGATGGAAAATATTTTTTAAGTTCAATATTAGTTTTAAAATTTTTAACTGAAAATCTCCCGGCATTGCTGTTTCTGTTTTCCTCTGCGTCTTACCATTTATGTTCACACAGGTTAAAAATTTCTTACATTTTAAATGATAGTAGAACCATTTTAGTTGAAACGTTGGGTCTCCAACAGCCCCTGCGCCCTTCCAATGAACAGATATTTCGATTTACCTTTCAAATTTTATAGACGTATCTTGTTTTTCTCGTTGGGCTCCATCTTACTTGTCATGATGCCATCGTATTGTTCTCGTTTTTCTGATAGAGCTGTAGTAATCTTACTACAGTCTTGCACTGGGTCTCCTGGTCTGGGCTTTATCTGACGTTGTTTCCACCAGATCATGTCAGTCAAATAAGCGCAGCGGAGCTAAATTGACTAATGATGCTGAAGAAAGAGTTGGACAGTACAGGCAGTACAGTTAATTTATCTCTATTCTGATCTGCCTGCTGATTGCGTCAGAAATGATGTTTTTCAAGGGATCATTGTATTTCAAGTCTCAGCAAGCTTGGAAATGCATCAGTCTGAGATCCTGTCTTTTAAGCCGTCTTTTATTAAAACCGAGAGATCACAGTTGTGCATGGCAGATCACAATTATAATTTATGCAAACAGACTTGCAAAACTGATTCACAGTGTTACATGACAGGCAGTCATGAGACAGGCGTAGAACAAGAACTACGATTATGACTGAGTTATACACCTAACATTATCAGATCTTTTAATGCCGTATGCAGAGTTTAACCGTTTAAGGACCGAGCGAGGCTATTATGAATAGTTCTCGAAAGCAGCCTTGCCTCCTCGTTTTGAACAAACTAGCAAGTTTGGAAAATGAATGAAATTATTCTCCGGAACTTTACACAATGCAGTAGTCATTGCAAGCCATCTGTCCTTGCACTGCTCATAATAATGGGGTAGATGTGAATTATATGCAACCTGCAAATATTTTTATTGAACAGCTGATTCTTTTGAGCAATGATTTTATGCTTATGTGCTTTCATTCTTCGACAAACGGCAAGTAATTCGATAACTTGGTAGGAGTTCAGAGGAGGATTCTGTGATCCTGTCCATGCTTGTGAGATTTACGGCACTTGTTGTCTGATGTACTTTATTTTTTGTTCCTCTTGATTCATCAGCAGCTGATGATACAGAGACCCAGTGTTTTGTCGCAGAGAAAACGTGACATCTATAATTTAGGGTTCATTGGAAAATATTTCTGTTGTAGTTAAATGTGAATTTTTTCATGGTATTATGAATACGTGCTATGAATCTTGCTACTTTTAGGCCACCGTCGAAGCATCAGTAGGGAAGTGCTTTCCAATTATCGACAGCTTACCACCAGACGCTGCAATAAAAGCCATGCGTGCCATCCTCTTTTCAAAGTATTCGTTCGAGTCGGTAATTCATGTCATTTGCTGGTAATTAGTCTCTTCATTCATTTTCTGTACCTAGTTTGCCAATATCGATGAACGTTTGAGCTTCATCAATGAATGTCTGTTGCATTTCGGGTGCTCAACGAAGTAAGCTGTATGCAAAATTTTGTTTAGCGATGACTGAATTGCCAAGCGAATCTAGACACCGCTCGTTTCACGGACTGAAAGTTGAACTGGACGAAATGAAGAAGTTTTTTCTTTCTGTCAGACAGTGTATTTTGCTTCTTGGGGACAAACTTGTTTATCATGCGTTTTTTGATTCATTGATTTCCTGTAGCGGAGACGTTACTAAGGTAACATTTAGTTTTTTCATGTCATATGTGAGGCTTGTTTTGAGCAACTTCTTTTCAGATTCAGCGTTTCATCAGTGAAGTCACCATTAATGACCGAAACTTTGACCTTGCTGAAGGGTTGCTTTGTTCTTTCAAGGCTGTTAGTCCCAGAGCAACGATGAAAACGTGTGCAGATTGTCTGGCTGACTATTTGACTCGGTAAGATTAGTGCCGCTGTTCCTATTGTTTCATTCAGTGCTTCAGTTGCAGCGTTCGTTCAGTCATCTTGTTTATATCATTTTTTTAAACTTTTGATGTGATTTAGCATTATAAATTTAATTTCATTTTGAAGCCTTGTTAATTTTAGGTCACCATTAAGGTGATGAGCAGGAGAGAGTGAAAGAAACGATTGACTTCATTTCGTTTTGATCGCCTAGTTGAACCTTAAATATTGTTTCCGTTGGATACTTTTCGTGATGAAAAAGTGTACTCGAGGATCTTAGTTTAACCAGCTGAAAACGATGTGGCGTATATTGCTTATTATTTTATCGGTGGTAACGTCAGAAGCAGTATGCACACTGTTACACCGTAGAGGCTATTGCTTTGGAATACGAACTTAAGTTCGATTTTACTAGAAGATTGAACGCGGTTGCTTTGTAAATTCTTAACCGAAAAAAGTGAGTAAAGAGAAAGTTGCCATCGGGTAAAGTAGACAGGTTGCAAAACTGTAACTGTAATTCAGATCAGCATGGCTGTGAGTAAGAGATGTACAAATCTGAAACACTGTTAACCGTAACAACTTTTATTTGAGCATGAAGATTATTGTTAACTTTTTACTAATATTCGTTACACTTCATTTTAGACCGGAAAAATCAGGATTAGCAGTGACCATTATTCAAGAACTGTGTAAGCGTGACTCACCATTGGCTAAATATCTGAAGACCAGTCTGCGTGACATATGTCAGGAAAAGCAGTTATTGTACGTATCTGCATGTACAAGTCTAACTTTTGTAGGCTCGTGATTGTTAGGTTTGTTAATTTAGAATTGACATGGAGATCCTGCAGTAAGGTGAAAAGTGGAGGAACCAATGACACTTCTATGCCGGTCATCGCAGTTGTAGCAGCTTAACTGATTGTCATGATATTGTCCCATTTTTTTCGTAGTTAACTGTGCTTATCAATGGTTGAATTATTGTTTCAGTACATTTTCAATGTTGCATAAAATTCAGATTCAGTTTTCATGAAAAGCTGTTACTGTGCTTGAGACAGTATTGCACTGCCCCCTTGCTCCTACTAACCTAAGGGGGCCGTTTAATTAGGCTTCGGCTCCATGGTATTTGAGCATCTGCAGTGCCAGATGCGTTTCGCTTTTCCTCTAGAGCAACCTCACACTCATCGCAAACGATGTTTCATTGACTGCTGCTCTTCGTATGCTACCGCTTAAACAGTTGTTCATACGCCTGAGCATGTCAACAGTTCAGTACATCGTAAAATTTGGTCTTGAAGGATATGTTCGTTATTTTACATACTCAGGTGCACAAACAACTTATAATATTTATGTAAAACTATATGAGAAGTAACGGCTCCTAAAATATCATTTCTGATGAGCGCGAGGTGGCTCTAGCAGAAAAAATAATGTGAGATGCATCTGGTACGGCAGGTACTCAGATACTATGGAGTCGTTGCCTACTTAAGCGGCCCCTAGCAACTAAGATAAAAGAATTAGTGCAGTACGCCGTGATATCTGATTTCGGATGTCACTTGTTATTTGCGATTCAATGAATTTATTGAATAATCATCCTACGTCATGACAGGCGTAGCTGACAAAGGTTGCTCAGTCAGTAAAGCATCAGGCTCAGAACCGAGAGGTCTAGAGTTCGAGAGCCGCGCCCAGATCACTTTCCTATCTTCTTTTCGATTTTGATAAATGAGTACCAGTGGG